AAACTAAAAATAGGAAGCCTGGAATCCGGCCCTCCAGGCTCCTCTAGCCGCTGGACCACACCGGTGTGGATGCGGATGTCGGGGGGTGCGGCCCAGCCCCCTTCCAGCTCCCTGGCCCTTGTGGGGAGGAATGGGGGCACTCCGAGTTTCCGCAAGGAACAGTTCATTCTTTCACTCTGGCTGCCCCCACCCCCATTTGTTTGACAGCTCATTTCATTTACGACCCCAAAATGAACCGACCCACTGAGGTGCCATTCCCTGCTCATGTGGCCAAGCGGGTGTCTGGTGAGGCTGAGAGCTGCCCCCCGGGGCCATGCCAGCGGGGGGAGGGGGGGAACCTGGGTGCCTGTGTTTATGGGGTCTGCGTCTAACCCTGATCCTCCCCGGAACACCCCCTGCTGGCCCCCCAGGAGTCTTCCAAGACCCTCACAATATTCCCCTTGGGCACGTGTCACTCTCTTGGGCCATAAAATCCTGCCAGGACGTCCCTCTCAGAATACAAGCCAGAGCCGTCCCTATGGCCGGAAGCCCTGCAGTTGCAGGACTGCTCCGAGGGGGGGCAGTGCTTTGTCTGGGGGCCACATCTCCTCTCAGGAGGTGCTAAGCACAGCTCCGTGCCCAGGAGGCCACCTCTGGGAGCCCCAAGGCCTGCACCGCCGCTCTCAGCCTATGGCCAGGCCAGCCACACACAGGCTGTGGGGCAGGTGTGGGGTTTGGTGAGACTGTAGGCCCCGCCCAGCCCAGAGCAACTCCTGGAGCCTCCACAATGGAATTCTGGAGGCCAACGGGCTCCCAGACTCTGGGACAAAATGGCCTCCTCATCCTGGACGGGCTGCTTCATGTCCCGAGCACCTGATGGCGGCTCAGGGGAGGTGGGGGCGACTGGCCAGGGCTCCAGGACTCTGGGGTTGCTGAACTAGGGATGTCAAACTTTCCCTCAAGCCAAGTAAACCGCTGTCCCAAAGCAGGGCCTTTAGCGATCATGGGACCTGTGATTCCACTCACGCCCTGGTACTCAGACACAGTGTGAGCTCAGGTGCTATTTGAATAGAAAAGGAAGCTCAGAGAGGGACAGGGACCACCCACTGCCACACAGCTAAAGGGGGAAAGCAAGTCGTTCTTCCAACCAAGACATTTCCCAGGCCCTTCTGAGGATGAACCCCCCAAGATTAGGAAGTCCCTCTGAACCACCACCCTGAGGAGAACTTGCATGCTCCCCATCTGCTGCCACCTGCAGGCCACCGCGGTTACTGCAGCGCTGTCCCCACAGCCCTCAAGCTCTGTGACCCCCGCACCCCCCAGGGCCAAGTCCCAGGGCTTCTTCCCGCCTCAGTTCCCGTCTTGGATGCGCTGGGTGCGCTGGTCCGTGCCTGCCGGGGGAAGGCGATGGAGCTTTGAGTCAGGGGCTGTAGAGGTCACGGCTCCTCTCCCGGTAGCCGTGGCACCAAAGGGTGGCTGGGGGGGAGGGGCTTGAACTGTGGTCCCCTCCTAATCTCCACGATTGCCTACAAAGTGACCCCAACTCAACCCATCTCTGGAAGCAGAGTGTTGGCCTGTTCAGGACCAGCCCTGCTCATGCGAGATAGACGCCACCCGAGAACACTCGCAGAGAAATTCTGCAGCTGTGGTTGGGGGCTTGCTGAGAGACAACCTGCCACCCCTGGGGCCCAACGGGTGCTGTGGGGGCAGGGGCCTGGATCAAGGGTTTAGGCCGAGGAAAGGGAAACTTCCTGTCGGGCGTTGGGTTTCAGGCAGACCAACCTAACGGAAAGGGGCAAAGTCTTGGGATTAGTTTTGAAGTATTTTCATTAGAGAATAAGGTCTGTTCTATGAAAATTCGCCTCCTCAAGTCCCACCTGGACAGGCACGGGCGGCCAGTCCTCTTTGCTGGCAGGCACCAAGGCAGGTCCCCATGCAGTCACACGCACAGCACCCACCGTCAGCCACAAACAACTCTGGGGAGATGTGAGGCCAGGTGACACCCTCTCTTTGCACCTCTACTGCCTCATCTGCAAACTGGGGGAGCTGACCCAGCTGCCTGCTTTGTAGTTCTGATTGCTGCTAAACTGCCGCTGTCCCAGCAAACACAGGCCCCAGAGGGGCTCTCCCCGAGGCTGTGCTCCCTCCACCCGCCTCTGCCCCCGCCCCACTCTGAGCCTGGGGAACAAGATGGGGTACGCTTCTCCTTCGGTCTACTTGTGAGCGGTGGTGGCAGCATGAAGACCTGACGTTCCTCTGGGGTTTCAGCCACACCACAAGGAGGCCGCACTTGCCCAGAGCGGTCTCCTTGGTCATTACGGATGGAGCTGGATGCGGGGAGGCCAAGGTGCTGGAGGTCTCCAAAGCAGTGGGTTTAGTCCTATTCCTGTCCCCAGGCCCTGCCCTGTTCCTCCTTGGCCATGGTGGGAGATTCCCCCCCCCCCCCCCCCCGGCTTCCAACCCCATACACACAGCCCTAGAAGTCTGGCATTGGGATCCTTCAACACATCTCAGAGTTATATTATTGTAACAAATCAGTCAAAATTCCATCTTACAGTTAAATAGTACAGAAGACAGTTTACTGTACAGTGGGTTGTGCATTGAAAACAAACACACTAAGCAAATTATAGTGCAAAGCAGTTTCCACCCCTCCCCCCCTTCCCAGCTCCGGGACGGTTTCACTGAAGATGTGTGTGTGGCAGGTATTAACACCTCGACATGACAATATGTCACAAAGGCTCTGTACCTACCACCACCAAGCTTCCAGTAATATAGTATCAAAACCCCTCCGTTTCCTTGTGCTTTCTAAATCAGTGTGTTCGCCTAGGACAACTTTAAAGCAGCCTTGTAAATAAGGACCCATTTCTAGCAGCCCGAGCCGTCTGTACCCATTATGGGCCTTAAAAAGACTCGGCATGGCTGTCATCACTTTTAGTCGGGGGGGGGGGGCAGGGAGATCCATGTATTTCCTGTCTCTGCCCCTACCAGGGCTTGACTATCAGGAAGGGCTAGTAATCCAGAATGGGGCTACAAAGTGCTGAGCACTGGGAACGCCAGGGCACCTCCCACGCAGGCCTGGGGCCAGTCTGCAACCACAGAGAACAGGCGTGAAGGAGGTACCAGGGCAATGGATTTGTAGCTGCTTCCTGAGAAGGGGTGGGGAGCCCCCCTGGGTGCAGGGAGTCAGCAGGACACCCCAGCAGCTACCTGGAAGAGATGGAGACTGCTTTTTCCAGTGAGGACAGGACCAGAGAAACTGCAGCGGGAGGGGTTTGAGTAAGATCACCGGAAGGACTTCCTAGCTCGCCGGAGTGTGTATCCGGTACGCATCATCTGGTTGCTGTTACAGGTTGGGGGTGGCACGGCAGGCCGAGAGCTATCACAGAGACAAGGACGAAGGGCAGGTCGTCACATCCACAGAGGATGTGGCTGAAACGATGACTGAAAACCACACGCTGTCTAGCCCTTACGGGTTTTCTCCTTTCCACTTGTGCCTTTTTAGAACTAAACTCAGACATGAGCATCTATGCAGCCTGAACCCCTGGGCAGGTCCTGCTTTCCCATCTGCAAACTAAAGGGGCAACACCTCCCCCCTGAGGACAGGGGGTGCTGCGCCAAGGCTGGCCAGCCCTTCGGCCCCACCGCCCCGCAGCCGCGGCTCCCCACCTCTCCACTTCCTCTTGGGCAAATGTCTGCGGGCCGCAGATGTGAGCTCTAGGGTCGCCAGGGGTTCCCTTGGGTCCCCACCAACGTGGGCCTTCGGCTGGAAGTTGGTGGGACACCGGAGGGCCTAACAATGCCCACACTCTCAGAAGGCAGAGGGCCTGCTGGTCACTACTGTAGGGCTTTACCTCTAAGAGACCGTGGGTTTGAAAATGTTTGATGCTTCTTATTCTAAAATCAGCTTTAAAAACTGGTTTTTGTTCAAGCCTGCTTTTGGAGCACAGACTGGCTCAAGATGGAGCACTGGCAGAGGCTGGAAGATCTGGCCAGGCCCGCTCACAGGGGTGTGCACAGCTTGGCTGGACCAAGGTGGGACAGGGTTGCTGAAATCTGACCCCGTGACCTCTCACCCCGATGCCTTCTGCTAGGACCTCTCTGGCCCCTGTGCTCTTTACAAAAATGGCAATTCTGAGACCAGCCAAGGGAGGGGCGGAAGGGGGATCCCTGGCCCTCCACCACAGAGGGTGAACGCCCTGGGCTGGTAAAGTGCACGGAGGACCTGTCCGCAGGTGTTTTTCCTGGTTTTAGGGACCTGCTGCCATTGGCTAGTCTCCTCTGGGGCCTGGGACCCGCAGACAGCTGGGACAAGGTGGGAGGCTTTCAGCTGTTAGGAATTCTAGGGAAGCAGAGCTGGGTGGGGTGAGGCGGGCGGGACTGGCTTGGGGGTGTTCTCATCCCATCTCTGCCAGCGACTTCCTGGGGCCTCTCGATGGGTCCCGTCCCCATCTATACAACGAGGGGAAACCCTCTCAGGGGTGAGGACGGCTTCCAGTTCTGATTCAGTCTGCATAAATGCTGAGGGAGGGCTGGGCCCATGGGGTAACAGGGTCTCTGAGGAAAGGGAGGGCGTGGGGAGGTCTTTCAGGGCCCCGTGGGTCAGAGGCGGGCTATGTGGGCCAATGCCACCTCTCTCTGGAACAGACGGTCTCTGCCCCCAGGAGACCTGGGCCCTGTGATAGCACCGGGCATGGCTGGGGACAGCCAGGTCATGCCAGGGGAGGTGGCAGGAGGATGCCTTCCCACAGGAACGTGGGATGAGATGAGCATCTGAGCTATAGGGGCAGCGTCCTGAGGGAGGTCCCTACCTATCTGTACAACGACATGGCCGGACTAGATGCTCTCAGAGCCACCCACCGGCTCCGGGCCCCAGGACTCGTGGACCCCGGGCCCATGATGGGCCCAGGAGTGTAAGTCCCATTCCTGCCCCGAGCCTCCGAGCCGGGCCAGCCACCTGCCGGGAAGGTTCGTGGGGTCCCTGCCTCCGTCGGGAGCAGGCCGCCTCGACCCGGGGGGAGGGGTCAGTAGGGCCGCCACACGGCCTCGTCCATGCGGCCCGGCGTGCTCAGGGCGGTGGGGGAGTTGCTGTGGCTGCCGTCCGCCTCCACGCTGTCGCTCTGGCCGCCCAGGCTGGGGTTCATGAGGTTGCCGGCGGCGACCGACGCGCTGCTGGTGCAGGAGGCGAGCATGCGGCTGGGGGAGCGGTCGCCCCCGCTGCTGCCGCCGGCCACCATGGAGAACTGGTAGGAGCCGGACGACGCGCCGTAGTAGAGGTGGTAGGGCGACGGGTTGGCCTGGAAAGGCCCGCTCTGGTTCTGCGGGGCCCCCGGGTAGGGCGGCGGGAGGTAGGTGTGGTGGAAGCGGCTGGCGGCGGGCATGCCGGCCACGCTGAGGCCGCCCGAGGGCGTGGCGCTGTAGGGGAAGGCGGCCGACATGGCGCCCGGGTAATGCATCCTGGGGTCCGGGAAGCGGCTCTCCGTGAACGTCTGCAGCGCCGGGAAGGAGCGGTCAAACTGGCGGGGGTCGGAGAAAGGGTTCAAGTCCGAGGTGCCTGGGGGACAGCAAGGGGGACAGTCAGCCGCAGTCTGACAGCACCCCGGGGGGCGGGGGGCCTCTTCAAGAACGACCTTGGGAGGGGCGCCCGGCTCCGTTTCGGCTCAGGTCATGATCCCAGGGCTGTGGGATCGAGCCCTGCGCCCGGGGCTCTGTGTTCAGCAGGGACTCTGCTTAAGACGCTCTGCCCGTCCCCGCTGAGCACGTGTGCTCTTTCTCTCTCTCCAATAAATAAATCTTTTCCTTTTTTTAAAGATTTTATTTATTTATTTGATAGAGAGCGAGCACAGCAGGGGGAGGGGGAGTGGGAGAAGCAGGCTCCCCGCTGAGCAGGGAGCCCGATGCGGGGCTCGATCCCAGGATCCCGGGGTCATGACCTGAGCTGAAGGCAGACGCTTAACGACTGAGCCACCCAGGCGCCCCAAATAAGTAAAAAAAAAAAAAAAAAAGAATGAAGCGTGGGGGCTCTGGTTCACCAGCCAATTGCGGGAATCCCAGCTCCTAGATCTGCCTCTGCTCTTACTGCCCTGGGCTGCTTGCAGGCTGGAGTCGGCCTGACTCAGAATCCGGCCCCACCAGGGAAGCAGGTGAGAGCAGGTGCCTGGGCCATGGGTGGCCATGGAGGCCTCCGTGGGCATGTGGAGAAGGGGGAGAACTTTTCTTTCTCCTCATGGAGTCCTTTTACAGCCTAGCAGTGCAGAAGCCTGTCCAGGGCATGAAGGTGGGCCCACCTGGGCTGGGCTGCTGGGGGTGTGAGGAACAGCTTCTGCCTCCCTCCCTCCCTGTTAATAACTGGTAAGACTGTGGGTATGAAGAGAGTCTCCAATGGTGCTCTGGGCTTGGGAGCTGGAGCATGCTTTTACAGATAAGGAAACTGAGGCCCAGAGAGAGAGACTGATTTTCCTAATGTTGCACAGGAAGGACTGGAGGTCATCCCGGGGCCTCTGCTTTTGGCTCCCTGCTGCTGGGTGTGCGCACCTCTCCTGCCCAGGTGGGGCTCAGGTAGCTTCCACGAGCTCCTGCTGGTGTTGTGGGGGCTGGCTCCACAGTCGGTGTCTGTCCCTCACCCTGGGCCTGTGTCCCCAGGGCTGTCCTGTGGGCTGGGGCTGACTGGTGGCCAGATAATGAAGAGATGCCACCTTCACTTGGCTCAGCAGCAAAGCGAGATGGCAGCCAGAGGGGCTTGGTGGGCCGAAACCGCCTTCACACGGGGGGACCCAGTGTCCAGCCCAGGCCCTGCCCTAGTTCCTGCAGGTATGGCTCCTCACTGGACTCCCAGACAAGGGCCTCTCAGCCTCTGCCCCCTACTCTTGCAGTCACAGACCCCCTAAACCTCAGCATTCAAAGGGGCTTCAGGATTGAGTCCAACCCCTTCAGTAGGAAAACTCAGGCCTAGAGAGGGTGAGGCGCTTGCCTAAGGGTCACACAGCATACTGGACCTGGCACAAAATCCTAGGGCTCAGCTCCTGAGCTCTGCAATGTGCCTGATAGGTAGCTGTCCTGTCTCTGAGGCAGGCCAGCACAGCACTTATCCTGGGTCTGACACTTACTGGTTGTGTGTCCTTGGGCAAGTCACTTAACCTCTCTGTGCATCAGTCTTCCCACATGAAAAATATAGACAGTAACAGTTGCTAAGGGTTAAATTAGTTCCTACATGTGAAGTGCTGAGACCCACACAGAGTAGAGGCTCTGATGAGGGTTTGCACTATGCACCGGCTGGGACACCTACCTCTTGCTCTGAGCACCCGAGAGAACTGGCCCGCGCAGAGTCCTGCAAAGGGGAGTCCCTGACTCTGGGCTTTCCTCGTACCCTGGCCGAGGTGGTGACTCTGGGCAGCAGTAGAGAGGTGGATGAACCCCCAGTGGTGGTCCCAAGGGCAAGTCTGTCTGGCCCCAACCCCTCTGTGCTACCCCCACCAAATAGGACTCAGAGGGAGACCTGTCCCTGTCACGTGGCCGGCTCTAGGTGGGCCCTGCCTGCTCTGACTGAGGCTTGGCTAAGGGTGGCGAGACCCCAGGCCTCTAGTTTCCCCAGATCTGCCTGAGGTGCTGTGTGACCTCAGGTGACACCTGTAACTTCTCAGGGCTTTGGGATCTTCCTGACTCCACTGGGGGTGTTGCCTTAGCAGCGGGCTCTGATTCTGGTCCTGACTGTGAATCAGAACGGAACAACGCTCCCAGACTCCAGGTGGGTGGATGGGGGGGGGTCAAGGCGTCGGATGACTGGGGCCTTCTGGAACATCTAGTATTCTAACAGGGCCCCTGGCTGGTCAGTGCTGCCCTGGGGTGTAAGGGGTCAGAGGTGCCTGGCTCCCCGCCTCAGCTCAGCACACCAGGGCAGGAGGCCTTGTGGGCAGTGCCTGGCTCCCCGAGCAGAGCCAAGCACGAGGTTGACACCCCCACTCTGAGCCCCGGAAGTGAGTGCCGCCCACGCGATGGGAGCCCCATCCTCCAAACAAAGGAAACCCAAGCAGGGACCTCAGAACATGACAGTAGGGCTGCAGCCCGGGAGGCACAGGGCCCAGGAAGCCCAGGGCCATGCAAGGTGGACCCGGGCCTGGTCCGTGTGGCCCTTGGAGTTCCCATGGGCTGGGGGCTCTGAGCTGGGCTCACCCAGACGGCCACTGTCCTCTCCGGCCTCAATGCCCGGGGGGTGGGGGAGGGCCTGCCCTCAGCACCCCTGTGGCTGCTACCCCCCACCCCCAACCCAGTAGCCCCAGGAAACCCGAGCTGGTCGGCTGAGGAGCAGCCAATCCCAACACTGGAAGGAAATGTTTATTTTCTTCTCCAAATTGCCCCAGCTGCTGCATGGTGGCTGAATGAGGCCTTTGAGCTGTGAGAAGCCCCCACCGTGGGCAGCCACAGCTGAGGGGGCCGGGGACTGGCGTCTGGAGGGGTCGGGGCCTCGGCATTGCTTACTAGTGACCAAAGCCAGGGGGTCAAAGCTATTAAAGGGCGTCGACAGAAGTGATGGTGGGGTGCCCTGAGGGGGATCCCCAGGATAGAGTCTGAGGGCAGAGGCTATCCCACCACAGGGGGAATGCCAATGAGGGGGCCCCAAACCCGGCCCTGCCAACACCCCTCTTCTTCCCACATTACAGATGAGAATACTGAGGTTCAGAGAGGTGAAGTAATCTGCCTGAGATCACAGCCGGGCTCTGGCAGAGCCGGATCCCTAGCCAGGTCCACCTGATGGCAAAGTTCACTGCAGAGAGCACAGGCCCCGGGAGGGGGAGAGCTGGCTGGGGCAGAGGGCCACACAGGCTGTGGGTGCCGAGGGAGGGCCTGGGCGCCCTGCCTCAGGATGCTGCTGAAGGGGCAGGACTGGGTCAGCCACGCCCCGTACAGGCCCAACCTCCTCTCCTCCCAGCCCCGGGCCAGGGTGGAGGTAGGGAGTCTGGCCTGGTCCTTAGTGGCTGGACTGGGGGCAGAAAGGCTTGCCTCAGGCTCCGTAGGCACCGATTTCTAAGCCATGTCCATCAACTGTGGCAGGGGAGAGGGAGGTTTTCCTTCCATGGGAGCTGCTGCACAGGAAGCCATTGTTTACCCTCACCTTCCAGATTCTGGGGCTCCCAGGCTGGGCTCCAATACCCACTGGGCCCCAGCTGTGCCCACGGCAGGGAGAGGCCTGGAGTGTTAGGCTAGTGTACCTTGACAAGGGCTGGCCTGGGGGAGATGGAAGCAGGGACAGCTTTCGGGCAGGGGTGGACAGGAACCTGGAGAGCAGATTACCTCTCCCGGTCTCTTGAGGTCAGACCCCCATGTGCAGGCTCCCCCGGGCTCAGAACCACTGACTGTCTCAAACTCACTAGCCCATGGGTCTCTCCTCACCTTGGGGGCTCAGCAAGGCCAAGAACAGAAGCTTCCTATCCCGGAAAAGAAGGGACCATCTCTTCATACTTCCAGGCTGTATCAAGACCCCGGCCACTGCACCATGCCGGGCGCACATGGCAAGGGCTGGGGGAAAGGCCTCCCTTAGCGGAGGGCCCCAGTAAGCCCCAAGCTCGTCCTGGAACATGGAGAAGGGGGTCAGTTCGCACCCCCACCCTGGGCTCTTCCTGCTTGGGGCCCCCTTGTCTGCACCCTCAGAAGTGCAGGAAGTTCCTGGGAGCAGGTGCATGGGGGACTTCGGACCTGGTCATCGATGGGCCCTATCGATGGGCTCTGTGACCCAAGAGGGACTCTTAATCTCTTGGGCCTCAGTTCACTCCTCTGCTAGATGGGTTGTAAGGAGGCCCTGCAGGAATGGCCACTCAAGGGACGTGCTTCTGTCCAGCACTACGGATGAGGGCTCTCTGCCCCACCTGGTCCAAGGGCCCGCCACCCACAGGCTCCTGTGCCCCAGCCTGCTGGCTGAGAGGGCCGGGAAAAGGGAGGAGATGCTCCTCACCGGGCCATGTATGGACCTGCCCCGAGGCCAGGCATGCGACTCCTCTGCAAGGCCATCTTGTGCCTGCCGCATCCACCCAGGCAGTGGAGACACAGACGCTGTCTGGGGCCTCAGCTCAGAGACCGCCCTCGTCTTCTCTGTCTGGGAGAAGTCTCTGGGCCAAGCGGAGACTTTTCCCAGGAAATGCTGTGCGTCTCCAGGGCTGCGCCATCACTTTGCTGTTTACAAAGGTTGCCCGAGTGCTGTCACGGCATTAGACTGTCGCCCCAGCCCTGGACAGAGGCATCCACCACTGGCCCTCTTTCGGATGGCTCAGGGCACGTGGGATCCACAGGCTCCTTAGATAAGTCATGCCCCAATTTTAACGGGTACACTACGGGATTAATACCTATGTCCCTCGGGAGACCGTGAGTTCCCGGAGGCAGGGCCTGTGTCTATTCGTGCTGATCCCTCGCATGGCACGTGGTGGGTGTCTGTACATGTTTGCTGAGTGAATGAATGAAGGGCCTAGCCCAGGTCCGGGCGCAGAGTATCCCCAGGAAACATCTGTAGGAGCCAATGCGCAGAAGTGCCCTCTTTCATCAAACAAGGCAGTGCAGTGAATGACCTTCAAATGAGCCTTTGGTCTGGAGAAGCAGGACCACGTCCAGGGTCCCGTCCACCCCCCCTCCAGCCCCCCCCCCCGCACCCCGGCTCCCCCTGTGCCATACCTTGGATGGGGGTCTGGGCCTGGCTGCTATAGTGGCTGGTGGTGCTGATGGAGCCACGGGGGCTGGGCGTGCTGGGGGCCACCCGCATGCGCAGCCTTTCCAGGTCCCCGAAGCGGTCAGGGAACGGCTTGGTCTGGTCCTCCAGCTTCTGCCGGTGCCCTGCAGAGCATGGGGAGCCCATCAGCGGCTGGTTCCCGAAAGTCTCAGGGGACAGAAATGCCTCACTCTGCTGGGAGGTTCTCCCTGAGACCTCTGCAGGGACAATCCTCAGGTGACTACCGACCTCTTTGCTGAGGTTCCCACAGGCTTTCTGGACAGAGAGTGGCCACGATGTGCTGCCTGGGGGATGCCATGATGGTCTGTCTCACCCCTGCCTGCTTCTTGAGTAGGAATACACATGCTTCTACTTGAACCTCTACTACCCACTGTGCAGAAGGGGAAACCGAGGCAGCAGGCCTGTGAAAAGTGGCTCAAGGGGGCTCCTGTGGGACTAGGGAGAGAACCCAGGAGTGCTGCCACCCTCTGCCTCCCAGTGTCCCAGAACCCCCACTCCCTACAAGAATAGCAGAAGGTGGTCCTACAGTGTGACAACCGGCTGCTCCAGCCCTGACCCACCCTGGGACCCCCAGTGTGCGCTTCTCCTCTCCCGGCCTTGGTCTTCGACAGAAGGGAAAATCCGCCGGGATGAGGAGAGGCCTGGGGCACTTCTGGGCTGAGCTCCCACCTCTGACTGGAAGCTGGGGACGGGACCAGCACCCCTGGCTTGGGGCATCACACCTGGAGAAACTGCTAGCATTTCCCATGACTTCTCTGCTGGGGCCCACTCACGAAGGGCCCTAGCTTCGTCTCCCGGGCCCTGGGGGTGTGGGCAGGGTCGGGCTGCCACGCCCCTGCCTCTGCGCGCCTAGCTGAGGCTACCCTCACGGCTTCCGAATGACGTCAAGCTTGCGGGGACTCCCCCCGCTTTTTTCAATTACTCATTTTATATTTCACAAGCAACACATAAACCGCTACAAAAATAAAAGCATTACAGAATTACAGGTCAGGCTAACGGCTCCTTTGAGCCACCCTAAACCCCTCCCCAGAAGCCCCCACGTGGTCAGTTTGGTGGTCTTTCTTTCCAGCCTTTTTTTGGTGTCACAGCATGGAAAACATGGAGCAAGTTTCTCACAGAACCTCTTGAACGGTCTCAGCCTGGTTTGTCATTCTCTAGCTCGCTTTTCCAGGAGCACATCTCAGAGTCCCACCTCAGTTTCCTGATCTGTAAAATGGGGGGAGTAACCCAGCCCCATGGTAACAGCGGAGTTCCGCTACACCTTGGGAGCCCTCCCTGGGGCACCGTGAGAGCTCAGCAAGGAGGAGGAGGACCGGCCACTAGCCGGCAGATGTCCCTCGTCCTGCCTGTCACAGCACCAGAGGCTGCAGCTCACTCAGCCCGTCATCCTCTAGGATGGATGATTAGGCTGTTTTCACGTTTCCTCCGCTATTCACATGCGGTACTCTCAGGAACGGCCCTCCTCACACCTCTTTGTGTCTGAGGATTTCTCCAGCACGGGCTGATCAGCCAGACACCAGCCGTTAGCCTAACATCCGAGGCTGGACCGTTCCCCTCCACCTGACCCCGACCCCGATCCTGACTCCGGCCCTGAGGCAGGAGGCCAGGCAGACAGGGTGGCCAGGTTCTCTTTTTACAAAGAGAATTGCAGCTCAGAGAGGTGAGGCTTGCCCTCCGTCACACAGTGAGGAAGAGAGAAGGATGTCCTGGATCTGGGGCCCCTTGGCCGAGCACGGGGAGCAGCTAAGGGAGAGGGAAGGCTTGCCTGAGTCCTCGGGTCTGCAGTGACATGCCGAGTTTCCTGGATTGACAAGGAGAGGAGAGAGAAGTAGGTGGGAGGGAAAACAGAAACCCTCACTGTCCTTCCTGAGGCCTGGAGACAGGCTGGGGGCCCAGAAAAGCATGAAATGACTGGTGCCTGCCCTTGGGGATGAGGAAACAGAGTTGGAGGCCTCCAAATGGGTTTGATTTCTGATTTTCAAAATGGGGATGCAATGGATTCTGGCACCACACACGCCCAGGCTCCCTGCCCAGCCCTGCCTCAAATGGGTATCTGAGGGCTCTTAGAGATGACCCCGTAGTCCCAGGAGCCACAGTGGGCTCAGCAAGTCATCAAGAAGCAGGGAACCCACTTTCTCCTCGGAGGATGCCCGAAGCCTGGAGCCCAAGGGACACTGTCAGCTGGGATGAGAACACTGGGCTGCCTCCCAGGACCATCGGTAAGGGGGCAAATGGAGGCTGGGGTGACTTGAGCTGGATGGAGCTCGGGCTGCAGACTCTGATGCCTGTGGGGGCCAGGCAAGTCACGTAAGTGAGGCACATGGGATGGTTGGGGAGTGGGGCAGACTGGAGAGGGTGTGCCCTGCAGAAGGGGTAGGTGTCACCCGGTCCAGCTGGCCAGTGCCCTGATGTGGGTGGGCCCAGTGTGGCCAGAGCTTCCAGTTTACCAGAAGAAACCTGCTTTGATGTGAAATCTTTACATGTTGGCAATTAATTCCAATACTGAAAAACAAAACAAAACAAAACCCCAAACCCCCAAACCAACCTGTAGGATGTGTCCTGCTCAGCGCTGCCAGTTTGCAACCTCAAAGTTTGAGATTTAATTTTCTGATGGGTTGGGTAACTTTAGCCAACTGAGGACTGCTTAACGGAGACCCCTCGGGAGGTGGTCTCTAGGGGAGTGTCTCGGGGCTCAGCCCGAGGGGCCTTGGAAGACATGTTGTTGACACGGCTGTGGTGGCCACCGAAAATGGCGGGGTGATGTGGACAAGCTGGAGGACAAACGAATTCAGAACAATCTCAACAGGCAGGAAGTCGGCCGGATAGACATGGGGGAACTGCAGACTGACCTGCGAGCAGCTTGGGTGCAAAGATTCTGGGTGTCTCAGTCAACCACAAGCTTGACGTGAGCCAATGGGGCTCTGCGAGAACTGGTGCAAAACCTCAGGCCTTGTCATTACCGTCACTGTGGAACAAAGTCCTGTCTCTGAGTCACACTGTGTACCAAGTGTTCACATTCGCTCCTGCAGCCCAGCGGAAGGAGGGCAGGGTTCCCAGCCAGCCCGGGCTCAAGGACGGGCCTGCCGCCTGTGCGGTCTTGTGGCCTCACTCGAGTCCCCGCCCCCCCGCAAGCTGCGGTGTCCCCTCCACAGCCAAACAAGGTCTCCGAATGCGCTCCAGCCACACGGGCCACTTGTACCCCAGTGCATGCCACGGGAGGCAGGATTATCGTGCCCATGTCAGAGACCAGGACGCCGGGGCCGCGGTGGTGAGTCTGGGACACAAAGCCGGGACGGCGGAGCCAACACCGGTGTGCAGACCCCCGAGGCCAAGTCCACTGAATATTCTTCCTCCTGACAGTCTCCTTTTTGCTCCCACTGCCCAGGTGGGGCTACTGAGGCTTCCGGCTGAGATCTGCACGAAGCCGTTGGTTTGGGGTAGAAATCAAGTCATCTGGCCCGAGAGCACGCCCTCCACCATATGGGGGCTCTGCTTCGCCAGGGGCACGCTTCCTGGAGCAGGGCCGTTCTAACAGTACTCTGAGACTCGCTTCCTTGCGGCTGTGGAACTCTGGAGCCACTGCCAGGGAGGGGCCAAGGGAAGCTGAGGTGGCTCCACGTGGCCAGGGTGCCAGAGAGTCTCTGAGCCACAGGGCCCCGGCCGTCACATTTGGAGCAGAACGGAACTTCCTGTGCCTGAGGAGAGATGGGCCTACAGAATAGACCTCTTTCATTTGGCCACCCACAGCGGGAACGGGCTGGGAGCTCTGGCCCCGCTCACATGGTCACCTGGGGCCCAGCCCTGTCACACCGTGCCTCAGTTTCCCCTCCGCACAGCTTGCTCACAGAGGCCCCTCTAACTTTGAAAGTCTCCGGCTGATGCTTACAAAGCTCAGCCACTGGCCATTTGAGGGCCTCCAGAAGGAGAGAAGGCAGGGCTGCCTTGACCGCACGGCTCAGCCCCACCACCCACCTCCTCTGGTGCTGCTTTTCCTGGCGTTCCTCAGGTAGTCTCTGCCTCACACCTCAGAGCCACAGCGCAGGGGGAGCCCCTGCCACGACTGCTTCCCTGTCCCTCGGGCTCACCCCAAGAGCCTCTCCCCTGCAGGCAGACCCCTCGTCTCCACACCGAGCCCCTGCAGCACCTCCACAGGCTCCTAGCAGTAGCTAGCACGACCAGAAATAAAACCAGCCTCCAGAACTCACGGAACGCTTCCTCCGCTCCAGCGTCTAAGTTGTCCACATGCCCTGCCTGGCTTCACCCTGCACCATCCCTATTCTGCAGGTGAGGAAGTGGACGCTGGTTGAGGGTCAGCGACATGCCTGAGGTCACGCAGATGGCTTGAGGCCATCTTCTCTTCCTGGAGGCCATCCTGCTAGAAAGGGGCCTGGGTTTTGATCATCAGGGGCTCCAGACAATGGGTGTTAGGACCCAGCCCAGGCCCAGGGCCCAGACAGGCTCCCTGCAGGCCCAGGAGGGTGGGCCTGGGGAGAAGAGGAGAGGGTCTCAGTGGACTCCCCCAGGAGACTTGCCCTGCTCTGAGGCTCAGGGCTGAGAGTCCAGCTCTCTAACCATACTTTGCTCTAACCCACCAAGCCCCTCTCCTCTTCTGGGCCTCAGCTGCCACAGCTGCAATGTGGTTTCCCTGCAGGATGAGCTGCAGGACAGACCCCAAGTGTTTAAAAGGAAAGCACTTTGCAGGGAGGATGGGGACCACCTGAGTAAGGCCCCACCTGGGCCCACCACACCTGGCCTGGGCTACCTGTCACCTCCAGGAGCTGGGCTCAGATCAGGACACCCCTGCAACACCACCTCCCTTTGTGCTGGGACCGTCACTTGTGGAAGGGCAGGTCCCAGTGGCCCAGGCCTGTACGAGCCAGCTCTCACCCACTGGTGATCAGGGGTAGGTCACTCTCCCCCTCGGGGCTTCAGCTGTCTCATCTGTAAAATGGAGATCCCATTCTGACTCCTGAGGGTGTGGACATGCTGCAGGAATTAGATGGGCAAGATGGACAGTCTGGCCTTGGCTCTCAAGGAAGGTATTCTGGGCTCCACAGTTCTTCCTTACTGGTCTACATAGGGTGCCCAGCCTCGCAGATGTTTG